CATCAAATCATACAATCCTCCATCTCCTTTTTTGTCCCGAGTTGGCCCGTCAGGATCACAACCACCTTTGATGAAAGGTTTTCCTATGGTGAATGTTTTGGGTTAATGGGGGAACCCTAAGGAAGCACACGGCCAGTCCAGCATGAAGTCTTGCAAAAGATTCCACATACCTCGACTGAGAACAAACCACCACCTTGTACAGGGCTGTGAAGCACCATGGGATGAGAGGACAGCATGCACAAATAGATTGTAAAAATAACAGCCCTCGTCTAAGACCAAAACTATTATTTGAGTGTGAAGACAGCCCCTGTACATTGAGATCACATCAGTTTTCAGGTGAAATTTAACACTGGTCAGTATTTCTGACAGAGGGCAGCGATGTGGCACAGCACATACGCTGCAAGTGAAGCGGCTTTCATTCATTTAAAAAGGGTCGCAGGATGTGGAATTTGAAAGTTGAGTGTTCTTGCTGGGAGTGTACAATCTAACCACTTCACCGTGTTATTGGAATGATCATGTATCTAACCTGCTTCCCTCCTCGTTGGTGTCCAGGCACCCAATGAGATGAATAAGTTGTTGTGAGATGAACTCTTTAGTCATGACAAGCTCCAGCTGGTTAAAGTCAGCTCTCTGTTCTTCCGACAAAACAGGCACAGTCTTTAGGTACCTGTTGAAATATTGATTATTCATTAAAAAACAGTGATATTAAACTTTTACCAAGTGAGAATATGAACCAAAAAATTTCTGCTGTGGATACTATCAGTATCTCCAACTCCAAGAATCCTTTAAACAAGTTTCCCAAATTGCATTACAAAAGAACAGAATTTGATATGAGGGCCCCATTCTGAAGTTCCTCCTGTGTCTGAATGCACATGAACATGGCAGTGTGGACTACTTTAAATTGGAATATAAGCAGATGGTTACAAAATACCCAGAAAGGTAGTGAGCGTAGGTGGCAGCATCAGGTAAAACCTGCTCCAACATTTCTTCTCCCTGGTCTCCTTTGCTCTTGATGAATTCACACAGAGCTCTCCAATAAAGCACATTCTCACAACTCAGGGAGTCGTCTGGAATCAGCTTCCTGTCGGAAACAGAAAAATACGATTAAATAAATAAAGATGTGGCCATTTGCTGCAGGTGCTTCAGTCCAATAAGAGTTTAACAGAGTGTCCTTGTAAAAATAGGGAGTCTCAAAAACATTTAACTAAAAGGCTTGCTTTTCCTTTGCCAAGCAAATATGTTTTGACCCAAAAGTCTTTTGTTTTCATAAATTATAAGCATGTGAACATCCGTCCATTTGTATGATTTGACTTTGACTCAACTTGTATATTAATTTTTTTGAGGTACACGCCTGTTTTCCTCATATTCATAATAACAATGAATGTTTTATAAAGCGCTTTTCAGGACACTCAAAGACACTTCACATGTCATTATTCATTCACTCCATACACGGTGGTGATAAACTACTAATGTAGCCACACATGTGTCACCTGCTGCAGCATACGAGTCTGTAATACCCATTGACTGTAAATATTAACGGACGTAGTCACGTCTATCTCTGACCGTTGAAACTAATTTGCCACCACTTTTGGCTTCTAAGGAGGTTTTTCAAAATGGCAGCGGGCAGCCCCTCCCGCAGGCAAATGTAAAAAACGGATTTGCATATGCGTTAGCCGGCACCAGCCCCATTCATTTAACGACTGCCTTCTGAAGTCCAGAGAGGCTAAACTTGAGTAGTCCAAAAAAATATACTCCCCTCAGCATTGACACACATCTGGACTTTTGGATCTGTTTTTGGCAGGTATGAAGACGCCTTAAAAGCATTGAGTAATTCTCTTTCTGGGTCCACCCCCAACGGGCCCGGGGTGGTATGTCAGCACACATGCTCATGGACGTTTTTGAGCCCCACTGGTAATGCCCCGTAATGCAGTTTAAACATCAAGATCACATACATTTAAGCTTTAAAATTATGTAATACTTGAACAGAGGAGCGTGTTAGATGAAGTTAGTATCTGAGCCTTGAATAAAGTAGGTAATGGTATCAAGTAGTTTGTATTGGAAAAGTTAATTCACAAATCTCACCTGTCATTAAACTGTAGCTTGTTTTTCAAGAGATCCTCTGGGGCTATACCGCTAAAGATGGCTTTCAATGTGTCCAGAGCAGTCTGTGCACAGTTCTCCACATCGAGCTTGTGAAGCAGGTCAATAACATTGCCCTCTAGACGATCGAGCCAGGCTGGCAACAGACGGGAGCAAACCACCTCCCTGACTGCTTCTACAAAATGCAGATATATTAAATAAGGACTCAGTTGTGATCACAAGAGCATTCCAATCACAATTACCTGAGGCATCATGGAGACCTTGTTGTAACAGATTCACTCTTTGTGCAATTGTGAGCGCTTTAATGTGAACTTTGTCTGCCAGGACCTGAGGAGAGTGTCAAAGCTGAAAGATCATGTACAACCAACCAACCAACCAACAAACAATATTATATATTGACAATGACTTCTAGCTGGACTAATGGGCCACACAGAGCGAGACGAGAACAAATTGAACAATCTGGTCAGCAGGGCCAGCCCTGCCCTGGGCTGCCCTCGAGTCTTACCTTAAATCATATTTTACAATTAGTTTAAATTATGTTTTACTTTTTTCTTTTTTTACCTGAAAAGTTTTAGGGGATTTGGGAATCTGGAAAACTAACATTGTGCTGACATCATCAACCATTTTGCTCTAATCTCCTGAATGTCCTTTATTTTGTCAAATTTAAGGCTTTTAACTATGGATCAAACTTTTCCTATAACCTATTCAATACGCAATCAATAACGATGAATTGAACATAATAAATCAATAGAGTACTGGACAGAAGAATAAAAGTTCAACATATGGTCAACTACCTGAAAGGCTAACTTCCGAACATTCTCCTTAATGTCTCGAGTGCGTTTGAGCACTTTAGGAAGCGTGGAAGGAGACATTGCAATGCAGGACAGGACAGCCCGCCGCACTTCTGCATTAGAATCATTATCTATGATCAGCATGTAGGCTAAAAAAAATATATCAAAAACATATGAATTATTAATACAAACCTAAACTTGGTTATGTCATTTTGAATTCTTAAATATTTCCATGACATCAAAAAATTATAGCACTAACCGTTGATTGTAGGGCAGTCTGGATCTCTTGGCTGCTGAAGGCGAGTCATAGCCAATGCAGCTTGGATCCTCACATTAGGAAACTTGTCAGTGACGCGAATCAGCATGGCTTGATGAATCCGATCAAACAAATCATCATCAATTTGAGCATTTTCCGCCATACTGCCCAGGAGTTTGTTGATCAGTTGACACGCTCGAAAGCGCACAGCATGACTGTTTGCCTTATGTGACTTAGGACAAAAAAACGAAAAAGTTACTGCAGCAACAATACTTTTATGGATAACAATTCTAGGAAACATTTTGCACACATGTAAGCCCTTCATAAATATACCACTTATAGCGATGTGTAACAAATAATATGCACATGGCAGCAAAGAATTACCTCCAATAAAAAGTTGAAAATAAAACTCAGGAAAGGGTGATCTTCATCCTCCTCTTCCTCCTCCTGCTCCTCCTCTTGCTCTTCATCAGGTTTCGGTGGAGACTGAAAACTTGTAGCAAACCTGGCAACAAACTCTATGACGTTTTCCACAGAGGGTTCTCGCTTGTACACGATCATGGCATACTTGAGGCAGTGCACGAACTCCTCATGAAACAGAGATTTGTCTTCAAGCTAAAGTGAGACAAGGACAAAAAAAGAGGAAAGTTATGACCATTTTGCCAATCTAGAAGTCTAGTGATTATTCTCTCACCTAATTGATTAGTAATTTTTTATCTTAGTCAAGGCCAGTGATTCCATGCATTTATCTTAATAAAATGAGATGCAGATAGGGGTTGGAAAAGTAATACAACCATAGGAAAAATCAAAAGAGCAGCAGAGAATAAATCCCATTTTCTGTGCTATTTTTATGATTTGAACTATATGCAAGTTTATTCATTAAAAATCTCTACACAACTTTATTAAATGTGTCTTACAAACATGAATAAATATATCATGTAATAATCCATATACGCAAACAGCCCCATGTGACAATCATTTCTTTACCAAGTAGTTATTAAGAATAGATAGATAGATACTTTATGGATCCCGTACGAGAAATTCTGGTGTCCAGTAGCAGCAAAAATAAAAACATTTAATTTAAAAAATGCATACTACAATAAAACTCAGGTACTCAAATTTTCCTTCCATAAGTAAAACATCAAGTTTGTCTGTCAGAAAATCCAATGTTGTGACTAAATCAGACCCCAACATGCCATCTTGCCAAAATTACTGTATGTGTGCCCGTATTAATTATCTATAGCTAGTTTCCAAAACATTATTTTTTGCACACTGGCTAAGAGTCACACAAATACATGCATGTGGAGACCAGAGCCAGGAACTAGATCATGAATTCCTTTGTGTGTGAATTTAAATCTAGGTACTTTCGCTTTTCTAACATAACGTTAACTATCAATAATTGATTATCTTGTTTCAGTCCTAAAAAGTACGCGATAAAACAACCGAACAATCAAAGCGGCATTACCTTATTGTAGCGAGTCTTGAGACAAGCCACTAGTTTAGCCTTGTTGTTGTGGCCTTTCTGAGCGCGCTGAAACGCCTCTTTAATATCCATTTCATTGTCCGCAGTCATGGTCCTTCACAGAAAACAGTGAAAGAAAACAGCATATTAGTGTTTATCGATAACGTCAGACAGATAATGTAATGTTACGTCTCCGGAGTCTTGTTAATTTAGCTGCTAACGCCCAGAGACAAACGCACTCAGACAACAAACCCTTCGAGACACAATTCCCATACGTTTATAGTCATTTACAATAAAACTATATAAGGAAAATATGCGCAAAACACATCCATGAAAGAGCAAGAAAATAGGATCTACGTACAAGTAATGTAACAAAAAATACCCTTAATGCAGTTAAATATCTTGATCGTGCCGCCTGTTTTCAAATCGAAATAACATCAACTTGACATCTCGCGATACTATGTATTCCTGATGTTTGCCCTGAGATTTGTCTGCTAGGCATTCGAAAGTGCGATTTGATTATTCTCATGTTGTTTCAGTCTGTGGTTATTTCCAAAACCAGTGCAATTTGACCGGAAACTATTTTTGATTTTATTTTTTTTTCAAATCCAAATCACATTTTTTTATTACCATTACGTAAAATAACCAGAAAGGGCCTTTGGTGTATTACTGTTCGACAAGTTAATGAATACTCCCCTCAGTGCCGGGGGCGTGTGTTGCGGACATGGATCTATGGACATGGACAGTGACGATATGAACAAATGTCTGAGGCATAGACTGTATATATTATGTCTGAGGGGGCTTCTACCACCTTGAACCATGTTTTAGGGGGCCATGAGTTTTGGTCCATCTTAACACCTAGAACAGTTAGCATTCCCAGCCCATATGGTAAAATGTAAAACAGAGCAAACATCATCAGATCTGGCATCGTGAAAACCAATCTTTTGTTTAAAAAAAAAGTAAAAGTACAAATGGCGGGCAGCACAGAGCGGGACAGGAGTAGACTCAACAAGCTGGTCAGGAGAGCCCCCTGGACTCTGGGGGAGGTGAGGGACAGGTGCTAGTCAAATCTCCATCATGGACAACACTCTTCACAGCTGGATTCTAGTGGAAGATATTTTGGACCATTCTTCTTTGCAAATCATGTGTAGTTCACTCAGGTTTGATGGATTCCAAACATGGACAGCCTGTTTTGAATCACATCACAAATGTTCAATAATATTTAGGTTTCGGGACCCTTCCAGAACGTTGTACTTGTTCCTCTACTTTAATGCCTCAGTAGATTTTGAGCAGTTTTTAATGTCGTTGTCTTATTGAAAGATCCAGCCCAGGTGCAACTTCACCTTTGTCACTGATTCTTGGACATTGTTGTCCAGAATCTGCTGATACTAATAATAATAATAGAATCCATGCACCCCTCAACTTTAACAGGATTCCTAGTTCCTTCACTGGACACACAGCTCCACAGCAGGATGGAACAACCACCAAATTTGACTTTAGGTAACAAGTGTTTTTGTTTTCATGTGGCGTTCTTTATCCTCCATGAAAAACGCCCCTTGTTTTGCCCAAATAACTATTTTAGTTTCATCAGTCCACAGCAGAATAAAGCTGGCTTGTCCAAATGTGCGCGCAGTGACACCAACTGATGTTGTGGGTCTTTGGAGCTGGTTTGTGGTTTGACTCCGACTGTTCTGGCCAGCCTGCTTCTCTGCATCGAAGATTTGTCTCAGATATGAACTAGAAATGTGAGTGGGCTTCCAATTCCTCACACTGTTCCTCACAGTAAAACTGAAATCTTAAATCTCTGTAATATATTTTTGTATTTTTCCTAAACCATGATGTTGAACAAGGTTTGGTAAATTTTCAAGGTATGTTTTCGGGTCATTTGAGAGTTGTTTTGAGGCTCCCCTGTTGCCACTTTTCAGAGAAGGTGCAAAGAGGAGAAACTACCTAAATATCCTTTCTCATGATTGGATTTATAGAAAACAAAAGTGGTTTTACTTTTGAATGCGCTGGAAAACGGCTGTAAGTCCTAAGTAGCTCTGAAACAGTTGTTGTTTTTGTGCTTTTGAATTTTTTATTATTATTGCTTTTTTCTACCCCAGATGTTGCTGCAGTATAGTGTTCATGGTTTTACACTGGTCCAGACCAGAGCAGAGAGGATTCATGGTCTTGAAGAATATGACAAAGTCTGGGATCGTGTCTTTAATTCAGACAGAAGACATGTTTTATTGTTGTTAGTAGAGACACCACGAACGAGGACGTCACTGCAAGTGATAGTATACAGCATGGAGAAATGGAGTCCTCCAATCAGCTTTCGCCACGATGCCAGTAGCTTGGCCTTCAGAAAACCAGAACATGCTGTGGAAAAATACAGCCTTGTGCATATTGTTAGAATGATGAGTTAGAACTTTAACCACAGTTGCTTCAAAGTGTCATGAAATCTCTAAAGTCCGAACCAAGTGGATCACACTGTAAAGAATTTCCTTGTAGAAAAATGGTAAAAAGCTGGCAAATATGGTTCCAGGGATTTACCGTTTTCTCAACATGGCATTACCGTTGCTAATTTTAACGGTTGAAGACTGTTTCACTGAATCACATTATGCCTTTGTGATTTCAGGATTTAACTGTATGTTCCTGTTAATTCACATACAACAAAAACAGCATTTTAATGTTGATTTTTTATTATTACACCATATGACTGTTTTTGTATTGTAATTAGTTTCATCCATCCATCCATTTTCTACCCTTTAATCCATTTCTGGGTCAGGGGGGTGGCAATCAGAGATGCCACCCAAGTCTCATAGCACCAGCCCCTCACTGACCCTCTGCAGGTGGTGAGTCCACAGGAGGACGGCTGCTCTCTGAGTGAGAGCATAGCCTTGATCTTTCAGTGGGGGCTTTGGGCAAAGTGGGGTTAAGTGTCTTGCCCAAGGATCTTCAGTTTATATAAGAAAATGCACCGTGTGACCTGTCCTGCTCCACCCAGAGGCTACTCCATCTCTTCTTCTGTGACCTGAACGGCTGTTGCTGATTGTTACTATTTTTTAACTTTTTAGAATGATCAATTTTATTTTTCATTTTTGCTGCTACTGGACACCAGAATTTCTCCTACGGGGATCAATAAAGTATCTCTCTATCTATGGATGTCAAGGGTCACTGAGATAACAGCGCCATTTTTTGGTTCCAATAATTATTGCTAAAGGTGCTGAAATAATTTTTTTTTTATGGATCCCCAAAATTAAGCACAATTTTGTGTAAATATTTTTTGCACACTTTCTGTAAATTATACGTGTTTATATATTACATATGATATATTTAACTGAAATTTTAAAACAATTGAAAGAGGTGCCCAAACATTTTCATACCACTGTGTGTGTATGAGTTTGTGTATATTTATCGATTTATTTATATAGCATGTGTATAGCATGTCTTATAGCGTGTGTGTGCGTGCGGGTGTGTGTGTGTGTTTATATATATATATATATATATATATATATATATATATATATATATATGTGTGTGTGTATATATGTATGTATGTGTGTGTGTGTGTGTGTGTGTGTCTGTGTGGCAGGAGCGGCAGGAGGCATCACACAGCCAGACCCCACCTTGGCATTGATGGGCACTGATACAGCCGCGGTGCTGTAGGGGCGGAGCCGCACTGCAGCAGTGCGCCCGTGTTGACGATCTCTCTCCGGTGATGTTCCACCGGATACGCCAGCATTTCATCGCCCCTGCTCCGAGACAGCAGGACTGTACGCCTTCATGCTTTTGCACTGACTGCTACATTAAAACAGCTGGGACAAGTCGGTCGGCGCGAGCGCGTCCCCGATGGACATCCAGCGTGTGACCTCCGCGAGCACCAGGCGGACCGGTGGAGAGTGGGCAAGAGGGGCGCACGAGAGAGGCTGCACCACTACACAGCCAAATGCGTTCACACGAATCGCTGCCGTGCACAGATGGGGGTCTGCAGACAAACGAATGAGATGCATACATTTGAAATTAACAGGACTACGTTGACATTTTTCGTCTGATAGACTATTGGCTCTTGGAACTTCCCCCGAGAGCGTTATGGCTTCAGGCGCCGGTAAGGCTGCACAGCCCGCTGGTCAGGGCTCCGCCGTTAACGGAAATGCGGCAGAGTTCCCCAGCATCGAGCAAGACACGGAGCAGTACGACTACCAGATGCACAGCAAAATGTGCAAGAAGATCGCCCAGCTCACCAAGGTAAGGTTTTTGGCACGGCTGTCAGGAGAGGCGCGCACCGTGGACGCGCTGTCACTGAGCGCCCCAGACCGATGGCACGTTCATTTTCGAACAAATAAATACAGCTACACATTGGAATCTGATTACTATACTACAGAGGTTATGCACGAAGTAACCCCGACCATTAGCTTGCAAGCATATGCTCTGTAACAGGATAATAGCCTGACTTGCTCTGATGCTCTATTGAATTGTCCATGCAAAAAACATCCATGTCAGAGAAAAACTTGAACATGATTGATTCAAAAGGACTGCAGATCTCTGCCAAAAGGACGACGCATAGCAACATTTTAAACAACATAGATATAAAGAGATATAGATAAACAGTTGCCTGTTAACTGTATAAGTATATTGTTTTTCACATTCTACGTTATGGCTGTAACCACACAGCTGCACTGAGTTGAGCCTATATGGTGCATTTTCTTTCTGTGAATCCAGCCACAAATTCATGTGCACATGCAGTATACTCATGAAGGCAGGGAGCTGTAGTAAGTGACTGCCTTATACACGAGAAACCAATATTATATGGAGATTCACCTTGTCCCTGCCACAAGAGCTTACAGAAGCAGGACATGACCCATTGCTTGTTGAGCAGTGACAATTACTGTTGACAGTGCAGTTTTCATTCTGCCTTGGGCGTGTGAAGCCAGAAGAGACCTACATGTATGACATATAACATACTGCATATATGTTGTTTTGACTTCCAACTGTCAACTGGACTCAATTATTCCCATGATGATGATGCATTTTCAATGTAGCACTTTGATTAAAAAGGTCTTGTAATACTTCACATAATGAGGAAACATTTGTCGTCTTAAGTGACTCAAGATCATATATTTTAACCATAAATGTGTTTCATTTTATGTGTAATTGAGATGGGATTTGTTGCTGCTCATAGATAGTCCAACATAAAGCACTGGCAGAGGAAGCAAGAAATGGGTCAGCAGTGGTAACCCTATATTTTTTATAACCCCGTGAGGCCACCAGTCAACTGCATATGTGCTCACATTATGAACATTTCCTTACGTCTCCCAAACCGTCTCTTATTCCACACAGATCAGACACAAATTTCCCTTTAATTATACAGCGCTCCAGGTCAGGAACAGTAATAGACTATAGTTATACATCCATTTCTTGAGCAAGTTAACTAGTGTTCAAACAGTGGTAAGTAATAAGTAAGTAAGTAATCTTTATTTATATTCCGCCTTTTCACTGCACATTGGAGTCTCAAAGCGGTTTACAATTATGATTTTTGGGAGTGGGGGTGCCAGTACAGGAGGCACATGCCAGACCTATTATACATATTTTTAGTGGTAGGGGAAACCTACGCAGACACAGGGAGAACATGCAAACTCAACTCAGAAAGGCCCTGGTCCAACCGGGATTCGAACCCAGGACCTTCTTGCTGAGAGGCGAGAGTGCTATGCACTCAGCCACCGTGCCGCCGTTGTCACAGCAAGTCGCATTGTTGGGTTTGAAAAAGCTTATGTAGCGCAATGCTATCATCCACCAGTTGCATATTTAGACTTCTATAATCCCATATCAAATGTGCAATGTATATCCATGTTTACTCTACTTTGTTCCTTCTCACATATGCATTCAAGCTTGGTGCAGGCTTACATGGGTGACATCATGAAGCGTCTCACCAACTGTATATGTTTTCACTCCTCAGTAAATGTAACTTCCACTTTCCTCCCCCCTCCCTTACTTCCAACTCTGCTCTTGTGTTTGTGAGAGTGACCTGCCTCGGTTGAATGGACATTTCTAAAGATAAACTGTAGCACGTCGGAGTCTATTAGCATGGCCGTTCAAACCATGAGAGCAGAGCAGAGGCTGACCATGTCCAGCCAGCTGTTGTGAATGTTCATCTGTTCGTGAAAATATGTGTACATTTCTTCAGCATTACAAAGCTGATGCTGTTTTAGTACAGACTAATATCAGTGCAGTAGTTACTTTTACTAACTACATTATTACATTTAATAAATGTGCAACACAGGCAATAATGTTAAAGCTAAATTTGAATGCAAAAAAGCTAGTTTTGCTGCCTTTAGTAATGCAATTATACTTTCCAACAAAACAGCATTATTCAGTAACTATGAACAATGTATTTTGTTCTCTTCAGTACTCTGCTGCACTTGGCATTGTTAAATCACATGCCTCATTTATTGTGTATGTGTTCTAAATGTCATCAACCAGAAAAGTGCTTGCGTGTCTTCAAAGCATCTCAAAATTGTCTTTTCACTATACAAGATTTTAATTGCAAGCGTTATCATCAAACAGCAGTTATACTGTATGAATTATACTTTTGAGAATAGTGACCCTGAGACATTTCTCTTTCATTTAGTTTCCATGCTGGGTCACATAGTGACCTAGTGACTTTTGACATGAAGTGGCTGTAAAATGTTGCAATTATACTTTTCATTTAATTCCATGTGGATAGACTGACACACAGACATAGTCATGGACAAGATGTCTATGACTCTGGACTATAGGTTAAAGATATTGATTCATCATTTGAACAAGTCCAGGATTTGCTTTCAGCTTCTGATTTTATGGGCAATTCTTAAGATTAAAGTCACATCATTAAGTATTCTCTTTTCCATGACAGCCCCAATACAAAATGATAGCTATATCAGAATACAAGTTGTGACTTGTTTGTGTATCTGGAAATCCTTTTCTGGGCAGTGGACACTGACACAGGCTTTGCAAGACGACTACAGACTGAGGGAATGTCCTGCGCTGTGCCAGATCGGTGCTGTAGACAGCAAGGCGTCCGGATAAAATATGAGCCTGTGTGTCCCCAGCATACACTGCAGAGCACCTCCCATACACCACATTCACCCTGGTGTAAGTGAGACATGGTCAGGGTCAGCCACACCATGACTCTGTAAGCATAGCAAACTGCAGTAAATGCAAGGCTGTATTTCATCATGTTCGTCATAGTCTATATGGGGATAAGGCAACACAGGAGGCTTTACATACAATGCATATTGATATATTTAGATGAGGACTGCTCAATGTTATTGTTGTGATTGTCTGGGTCAAGTCAAATTAGATCAATTTTTATGAATGCATCTAGATTGCATATAATTGACAGGACAGTAAAACAGTAGTAATTCAAATAGAGTTGTTTGAGGAATCAAAAAAAAAAACTAAAATAACTAAATGATCAAAATATTCATGAAATATGTTTGTATAATCTTTCAAATACTTGAATAAAGATTTACTGACTCACCTGAATATTCTTAATGAATGAATGAATGTAGAGATATTTTATCAATATTGCCCATCATATAATATCAAATGGCTGCCACATTAGATCAGGTGAAACATTTAAGATTTTGAGTGTTTGAGTGTGTTGTTGCAGTGCTATATTTATTCTACTCAGAACGGAACATGGGTGACACAAAGACATATGTTGGCATCATTTATAATGATTTCTATGCATTTTTTATTTTGATTAAATATTTGTTTTACCCATACCTACTTCTTAGAGGCAAAGATTTAAGGATGAAATATACATGTTTTATGTGCAATGATAGCACAACCACATAAACATTGGCCAGTCTTCCCTCTCTTAAAATGATGGAGAGATGGAAACAACAGTTTATCTTCCCCTATGACACTGTGCAGGTGATTTACTCTCTGAACATGAAGAATGAGGAGCAGGAGGCCACGCTCCAGGCCCTGAGTTATGCCCACCACGAGGAGCTGCACCGGGTCCTGATGGAGTCCTGTCATGAAGGGGAGGGCTCCGTGCTGAGGGTCCGCCTCCTGGAGCTGCAGGAGTGTCTGGATGAGCAGCAGCGACTGGGAGCTCAGGTGAGTGTGTATGTGTGTTTGTGTGTGTGTGTGTGTGTGTGTGTGCGTGCACCGGGCCTGATTCAAGGGCATGTCTAGTTGTAATTTAGTGTGTAACCGCCTATGGGAGCCACAAATCAATGTGACCTATAATGATCAACCTTGTTGCCTGATACTTTGCCAGGGAATTCGGGCCTAATTTACATCCTGAGCTCCCACAAATGTCTCCAACTTGAATAATAAACAGCTTCTAGGCATGTGCGGATCAGAAGTTAAAGAGAAACATTTGTATTTCAAGCAAAGATGAAAGTCATATTTTCTAAGGTAGTTTGTCCATATCCATGTTTACAACTTGGGGCCTCATTTACCAAGAGTTTGCTCACGTGCAAAATGTATTAGCACTCCATAAAACTGGAGCAAACTGATTTATCATGCCCCCATTTCCTATAAAACTACAAACCAGGGAAGATGTACTTGCTACTTTACTTTGGACTCACAGTTTAGCACCTGGATTGATAACTGAGGGCCTTGCTGCATTCTTCGTTAATTTTGATGCTTGTGGATATGTACAATATATACTGAGTTTAAAAAGTTGTTTTTTGATGGATCATCTTGCGTAGAGACTCAATAACAACAGTTCCTGGTGGATCAGTTTGGATCACCAACCACTGGATTGATGAGTGATCATTAGATTTTAAATTTATATTAAGTAAAATCCTTAAAGGTGCTTTGTTTGTAGGTGCAGGCCGACTTTGAGTGCTATCGCCTTCAGGCCGAGGAGCGTGAGCGTGAGGCGGAGGCCGAGCTCAGGAAGGAGTTTGAGGAGAAGCTGCGAGCCGCACAGGAGACGCTACAGGAGGCCCGGGTGCAGATGAGTACGGCCCAGGACGAGAGCCTCCGCCTGTGCAAAGAACTGGAGAGCATGGTTCAGCATGTGCAGCAGCTGGATACTAAGTGCGAGGAGATGCAGAGAGAAGCTGAAGTGGAGGAGCGACAGCGAAGAGAGGAGAAGAGACAGAAGGAGGAAGAGGAGAGGAGGAGGGAGGAAGAGCGGCGCATAGAGGAGCGGGAGGACACTGAGCGAGTGCGGGCCCTCTTAGACCAACTGAATGCTCTGAGACAGGACCGGGAGCGCGCAGAGGAGGACAAGAGGAGAGCGCTGAAGGACGAGAGAGACCGCTGGCAGGAGAAGATTCATGAGCTGCATGAGGAGCAGGAGGAGGCGCGAAGGAAGATGGAGGTGGAGTGGAGAGAGGAACGGCGTCAGTGGGAGGAGCGTGAGGAGGAGGAGAAAAAAGGCATGCACAGTGCTCTACGCGAACGAGTGAAAATGGCGGAAGCGGAGGTAGAGAGTCAGCTGGAGAAACTTGACGAAAGCAAGAGGAGCACAGTGAAGCTGCAGGAAAGGATACAGGTATGTATATCACACTTATTTTTGTTGTCGACTAGTCTCTGATTTGTTTTTATAACTAATAAAGGTTGACATATAATTGAACATACAATAAACAAAGTTTAGTTAAAGGAGCTATACCCAATATTTTTTCTAATGAGTTCATAAAAATGCTTATTACTACATACAAGTTGTATTATAATCCGTAATTTATTTGAAACATTTAGCTCATTGATTCAGCTTGTGTATGAATTCAGGCCATAAAAGGTGCTAAGTAGAGACTTAGCGCGACGCTCCCTCTCCTCCAATCACAGAACAGGCTGTGTCCTCTAGCCTCTACAGCGCTGCTAAACACAGTAGCATGTTAGCAGAATTGGCTATTACTCCTCTTGCTGTAACTGCATATGCAGTAAACTAGCCCAAACGACACAGCAGAGAGGAAGAGAAGAGGGAACTAAAGCGAGAAAATGATCAAAGAAGAAATCAAGCCTGGGTGAACACAGCTAGCTTACATCGTATCCTCTGGAGAGACTTACAGGGAGAGACCTGTGGGTGCAGGACCGCCTCGGACTACATTTGGACGCAAAACTAGTGGTAATCGTTCAGTTATATATTTTGTTAGCAGTGCGTTGCTTTTGTACCATTTCATCAGTGATTGTTGTACAGCTTAAAAGAAGTGGCTCTTATGCTAATGCTTGCATATGTATCAAGCCCCCGCAATCCAAGATCGCGCCGTATTCAAATGAATGGTTTGTGCTCAGTGGCGCATTGTGCCGGCATGGTCGGAACCCGCCTGGAACTCGCAAAGATCCATGGGAAACTCGCCTGTATTTGGGCCTCCCGGTTCTGTGCAGTGGATGAACTCCCATGATGCGTTGCGCTATCTCCCATGATGCGTTGCGCCAAAGGTCTCACATGGGTCTCACGCATGTGCACAGAGGGGCTCGGCTGTGCTCTGACCAATCAGAGCAGTTCATCAGAGCGGGAGTTAGAGCTGGAGCCAGACGAGCAGAGTTTGTGGCACTGAAGTGTGGATTTAAAGAAAACCGAAGGATTTAAGAAGAAGAAAAGTTCAGGATGACAAGGGACACTAAAATCCCCACAAAATCCTATCTTTATTAAAGCTGTAGGTTCTCTGTCAGCTGAGGTCGAGCTGTTTTAATATGCACTGAGTTCTATGGGGAAAATTTCTGGGTAGCCCACGTGAATTTAGTCTGGTTTAGTCTGCAGTACCGCAAGAATCCCCCGAGCACATGGGTTATTCAGCTCCAAGCTAGTAATACCCTATCCAGTTATTATAATAGATCCATGATATGTATCAGATCGCAAATAAAAATAGATGGCTCTGTGGCAGGAGAGCATAGGGGAAATGAGAGACTTGTGAGCGAGTTGAGGGGCGGTGCTAAACATTCAAACCTTGCAGAAACGGGTATAGCTCCTTTAATAGATGCACTGAAGGGGTGAGCCCACAAGTCCATGTCCTCCTGCAGTGAGTGAGTCAGATCTGAGTGTCGACATAGGGCACATTGTAACTGTGTATTAACTAACTTAATGGCAGCATATTTAACAGGAAAGGTCTCAGGTCAGGGAAATATTATTTTCCAATCTCAACAAACCACTTTCAATTTAGATAAAAAATCAACCAAATCTGAAAGGGTGCCAGAGACACTCACTCAGTCTGAGGATCTCATGGTTGACAGTGTCAAAAGCAGCACTCAGATAACAGGATTAAGACTTTTCCTCGGTCAGTGTGTCATTTGTTACCTTGATAAGAGCAGTCACAATGCCTGGGTCTAAAGCCTGACTGGAAAATATCAAATGAGTTGTTAGTTAGCTGATATTTGTTAAGTACTGTTGCATCCAGAATGTTCTTCAGACTGGAGATACTTTCTGGGGCAGTTTTTTCATTTACAGGTGCAAAATTATCCAGAATGAACATTAAAGAGGATCAAATTTAGATTATGACTACTTGCTGCATCCCTAAGCTATACTCAACTTTTTAACTGTAAACATTTTCTATCCATGGGTTTCAAAACAACGACCGATTTTGCACAACCTCTCCCATTGCAATTAACAATTCAAAATTACATATGATATTTCCAAGATAAGAAAAAATCCCTCAAAATGTTGCATGACACCGGAAGTTGAAACCTATGAATAGTTTCACTCATTTCCACATGGTAAATAATTGTTGCCTTCAAATAATGATTGTGTAATTGTTGATGCAGCATGGGGAGATAGATTGAGGATGTCTTTGCTCCATCCAAACCACACACTGCCTTGTTGAGTGCTATCCACTAATGAGTAGCTGGAGCCAGATAGATCTGCTTCATCACTGCTATTACCACCCTGCGCATGAGCATTAGGATGTCCTGTGAGAGACACACATGAGCTGACATGAGCGCTCCAAGAATAATGCATACAGCTGGGCCAGAGAGATCCCTAACTCACCACTTTAAAAACCCTCTCCACTCCCTCTCTCTCATTCTCTCTCTCCTTGTCTGACTCACACTATTTGTTGTTTATCTGTCCATAATGCCCACAATGTTTCGACATGGATACTTTGAAATGTATGGGATATGACTAGTTACCAGTTACAATGGGAAACTCCCATTTGAACTGGCAAGTTTATAAGGCATTTGACAGCGGGTTTTATCATTTTATTCGTCATTGACCCAAGAGGCTTCCACATTTATGTCCTTAAACACTATGTTTAGCAGGTTCTTGCTTGAGTAATCAGTTTCCTCTGATTATTTTCTCTTGCATGCTCTCTCCAATAAAAGAAAAAAGATCAAGTGTTTCTTAATTGAAAACTTGTGCATATGACATGATAGATCACATTTCACAAAAATAGGCTTAAAGGGACAGTGTGTGTATATTGCGCTCTTACTGGTTTGGATTACAATTGCAATCCAAACCTTGGTGAGCTCTGTTTATACATGTGGCCAATCTGCTGGGGTTTAGATATCAAACAGCTGGATTCCATCAAGAAATTGGCAACCCAAATTCTGTTTCTTGATAGGTTAATCCTCCTGAGAATTGAAATGATTCTGTCTATCGTTGGACGTCAAGTTTGCACAGGGCCTTTCTGAGTGCCCTGTGCCAACCTGGTCTTCCCATCAATAAGTTGTGTAATTAGCAATTTGATCAGAAATTGTCTAAAATGATTGTGTTCAGGGACAGGGATAAAATTTATTTAATCTTCTTTAATCTTCCATACTGTCCCTTAATCTTATATTTTAAACTTAAACAATGCCTAGTTTTGTGTAGTTTTGAAAAAGTAGCATTTTATTTTATATGAGATATTGACATACAACATAAATGAAAACAAAAGTTGATTAGTTTACCTAATTTACGCACTGATAGAAATATTAAATATGATGTGACACATATTTTGTCGGGAAATCTACTTGTCATATGCACTTTATGTCCACACTCACTGGCTTGGGTTCTTCCTTTTCTTTTTTCCTCCTTTCCTCACGGCCACCTTCAGAACTTGGAGGAGGAGCTGGAGTTATACCGCAAGCGTGTGTCCGAAACCGAGGGGGTGGTAAAGCGGGCGGAGGAGGAGTTAGCTGTGGCCAAGGAGAGGCTGCTGCTTCAGGAGGACGAGTTACAGAGCAGGGCAGGTATAGCTTTGATCTGCCCCTGTGGATGTGTGCGTGTATGTATGTATGTGTGTGTGTGTGTGTGTATGCATGATGCCACAACTCACACTGATTACAAGTCTCCAAATGAAGCATTAAGCTCACTTGGTTTCCATTATTCACCCTGACTCAGCGCTAATTAAGATTTCACCTCACGCCGTTATAATATATACAGCCAAAAAAGCAGCAGACGCACATTATTCATCCCCCACAAAGCCTAACGCTTCCATCACACTGTCATTACTCCCAGTCAGCAAAATGCCTTGATTATTTACTGCGCAGTGAGATGAGTTTGTTTCAAGTCCTTACTCATTCAAAGTTTTGCTGCATAAGTCAGTTCTGTTTCTATTATGCATGAAGCCTAATTGTGCCTGTGTTGAATTGGTGACTATTTGGATATATGCTGTGTTAGAGGAACTGTTGAACCGCGGGGGCTGCGAGGTGTGCGTGTGCGCAGAGGTGGATGAACTTCGGAGTCAGGTGAGCCGACTACAAAGCCGCAACCGTGAGCTGGAGCTACAGAGCAGCGGCAGGAACAGCGACCACGCCCGCCAGATACGCCAGGTAACATTTGATGTTACCATGAATGTACAGTTAATTTGTTTTGGAACTCATTTTAAATATCTGGGCAAGGATAGTAGTAATCTTTATTTATATAGCGCATTTTTACAGACCAAGGTAGGGCTGGGCGATATGTCAAAAAAGTAAAATCTTGATTGTGTTTCCTGCTTTGGACAATTTTGATTTTAAATTGTTTTTCATTAAAGTCACCAAAGACAGACTTTGCCCTTAAAAATATTTTTTTATCTTTCCGCTCAATATTCAATTTTCAAAACCATTTTTAATTTGTTTCCCCAAATACGCATTATAAAAGTCTTGTACAGCCTGTGCTGAAATTGCAAATATGATTAATGTGCTGCTGGAACTCTCACATTATCCTTCATTCGATTTAACAATGTTCACATTTTTCACAAGTTAGATTTTCTCAAAAGCCGATTAATTGCCTAAATTTGATTTATTGCCCAGCCCTAGACCAAGGTCAAACAAAGTGCTTAACAATGTTCAGAGTACAGATATAGTAAAGTTGATGTAATACATTATTTTTTAATCGGTGTCAGAACTGAGTAGCAATGTTGCATGCACCTCATACTGGCATAAAATGTGAGAATGCACAAGAAAGTACTGTAAAACAATGCGTATTCATGTTCGTGAACTCTGAACTTACAGTAGAGTTTGTGGATTGGACATTTTGGTTTCAATGAGTGAATAAGTTCCTCCATTACTCTTGCATCAACATCATTATATTCATTAATTTTATTCTACAAAATGTTTTACTTCCAGGCCTCAAGAACACTATTAAAGAATATTATTATTAAAGTATTAGTACTATAAGATAATAAAAAATTACTTTACAGCTTCAGCCCACGCTATTGTTGTTTTACTTTGTCATTTACACACCTTAAGCTGTTTTTAGAGCAATTCATTTATGTTTGAGTTATTTACAATACACGTGCGCCACACTTGCCCTCCCCTCAGTCCTCATAATGCCGACATTTATGATGTGGGAAGGATCCACTCACCTTACAAGGCAATTTTTGCTCATCAAAAGGGTTGGACTAAGGGGGAAAAAGGGCAGAGCTTAGGGTTCTGAAGGAGAAGGAACTCTTTCTATTATAACTTTGTTTTAGCTCAATTCAAGGATTTAATATGAACTATTTATTTGTAAAGAGCCACAGGGGTCATTTATTATAATATTATTGAGAACAAAATAGCGTTATGTCCCCTTTAAAGGCCCTGATACATTAGTAAAACATTCCACTGCTGAAAAATGGACCCGAATGCTTTTTCCAAAACTAGGCCATTTCCCAAGTACAACCTACAGCTAAATCTGTTCATCTGTCTGCCTAGCACGCCGAAGCCTTGTCCAGCCTGCGCTCTGAGATGGTGCGAGCCCAGACGGAGGAGCTGCGGCGCATACAAAAACACGCAGACGACGAAAGGGACAAACTGCAGAAGGAGATAGAGCGAGAACGCCAGGCCCTGCAAAAGGAGGAGCAGGAGAAGAATCAGCTTGAGCAAGAACTCTCCAGACTGCGGCGAGAGCGGGAGGAGGAGCGTGAGCAGCAGAGGAGAGACATGGAGGAGCTGAAGGAGCGCCTGAGGAGGGAGAAGGAGGAGGACATGGACCGGCAGAGGAAGGAGCTGGACGTGGAGAGGGTGCGAGTCCGATCCCAGTTGGATAAAAGCATGGAGCAGGTGGATGCGGAGAGGGCCGGGGTGCATCACAGACTGGAGGAGGAGAAGAGAAGGCTGGCGGAGAAGGCAGAGGAGGACCGGAAGAGGCTGAAGGAGCAGGTGAGGAAGGCCATCGAAGAGGTGATGAGGAGACACGCCGCAGAACTCAACAGTGTCCAAGAAGCACTGAGCTCAGAGAAGAAGACAAACCAGGAGGTGGGTTCAACTAGACTCTATATTTGAACTTAAAGCTGGGGTACCTAACTGTCTATCCACAAACATAAGTGTAAAATACAATCTTGCTAGCTTTTGTATGCATGTATTTTTTGGACAAAATCAAATATTGAGACAGACAGAAAGCGTTGAATAGTGACTCACACTCTTTCTTGCTAGTTTTCTTAAGATAACGTTTTCGTATATACAAAACAATTTATGTATTATTCATGAAAATAAAAAGTTGGGTACCCCAGCTTTAATGTGACCCGTCAATGGAACAAGCATCTCACATATATAGTATGTGAGCGTCAGAAACATTATATTATTCATGTATTCATGTGGCAGGTGATGAAGCTAACAAAGTAGGGGGGTGTTAAGTAAATCAATTTGACAATATATAACCTTGCAATTCCCATATCTACTCAAAATAATAAAATCTGGATTCTAAAAAAGAAGGAATTGTAGGCAGCACTTACATTGCGTTACATTGTGTTGCATTTTGTTACATTGTGTTACATTACGTGCATCGCTGGGAGTAAATTGGTGATAAAGCCATTGCCACGATCTGTCTGATGCTGGTTATTTTTAGTTTTGAAGACAGTCAATATTTGTAGAATCTGCACCAAACATTCAGCTTCTGTTGTGCCTTTGACTACATCCGTCTTTTCCATGTTCTCGTCTCATCTGGTGATGCACATTTGCCGACACATTCTCAGGCGGGACGCTTTCTTTCATATGTCATTCATCTCTGGGCTTAATGACTTTAGCTGCAGCGCGTGTGTGCTTAATGACTGTGTGTACAACCGCTGTGTTATGTCTGCTTTCATCCCGTCACACTGCTGTGGCACTAATGTTCTCTCTGTGAGCCACATATGTTTCCCTCAAAGCAAACTGTTGAGCCTGCTCAGTGACAGAATTTCACCAAACAAGATCAGATCTGCGGAATCTCTTTACTCAGTTTGGCTCAGGCACTAAGGCTAAAAGACCACAGTTAATTAATAATTTCAATATGCAGTAGTAATGTAGAGATGTTATCGCATAATTGCTTCGCCTTTAAGCCTGGTTACATGTACTTCTTTGTGACTGCCTATTAATTAAGCAGGGTGATAAGAAGATGATAGCTGGGATAAATTAACCAGCCAGAGGGCACGGTTTTGATGGTTATTATCTTTGATTAATATTCCTGAAAGGTCTGTGCACGTTTGGATGAGGAGAGGAGGAAGAGTGAGGAGCTTTGCAGTGGCCTGGAGAAGGATCTGGACGAGTTTAGGATGAAACTCAAGGACTCAACGGCTGAGGTGAGTCAAAAGATGAAATTAGAGACTGCCATATTGTCTGCAAAACGGAAAACAGTGTTAGATCGGTGGCAGCGGTGGGTAGGAAGCCAGATGCTCCTTCACTGCTTATGGACTCTGCGATTCACGTATGGTTCTTAAACACGCATGATGTATCTTGTGATGTGTCCAAAGTGTATTATTATGATTTTTATTTTTTATTTATGATTATTAATAATAATAATAATCATAATAATAATTGTACACTTTGAGACACTTCCACACAGCATTATTCATTCACTTCGTACACGGTGGTGATAAGCTACTACTGAAGCCACAGCTGCCCTGGGACAGACTGACAGAAGCGAGACAACTCTTCTGTGCCATCAGCTCCTCTAACCACCACCATATTCATGCACATTTCAGACTTATTATAAACAATGTGGGTGAGGTGTCTTGCCTAAGAACACAACAACAGTTTAACATTATACAGCCGCCCCACTGTGGCACCTGGTGTTCCCAGAGGTCTCCCGTCACAGTACTAACCAGGCACTGTCCTGCTTCGCTTCAGAGGTCTGATCGGATTTAGCTTCCGCATGAAGGTTCAGACCTCATTGTTCCAGACTTCATATTGAACGATCAATATCAAATACTGTCCTATGGAAACAATACATACCTAATCTAATTTACAATTCTGACACTGACAATCGTGCTGTATTTTAATCAAGATTAACATTAAGTCCTTTCTGATGGTCAATGATCATCTTAGCATGTGTGTTATAGGATTGAAAGTCTGTAAAGTATAAGTTCTTAAATGTACTGATTGAAAATATTCTTTTAAACAGACAAAATACAATATAATCAATTGATGAATGTCCACCACACCCATCAATATAATGTATTTTCATTCTCTAATGATGTGTCCCCCATGTGTCCAAAGAAGAAACTCATTGCAAAAATATTTCTCGCTCATCTTTGTAGATATGTCGACTAGAGGCTGTTCTCCAGCAGCAGGAGAAGAAGGAGAAAGCTCCGGACGTCCTTCCCCCTTGTGGTTCGCGGTGCTCCCACATGGAAGAGGAGCTCCACCAGACCCGCTCTAAACTGGCTCGAATCCAGGAGGACGCGGAGAGGCAGCGGGACAGACAGCAGCGGGAGATCACCACACTGAAGGCGGACAAGCACCGGCTGGAGGAGAAGGTGCTGGAGCAGAGCAGACTCAGCACCGAGAGGAACCTCCTAGAGCAGAGGACCGAGGACCGCGTCAGGTAACACTATCCACCACTGATGGAGGCATACATTTCACAGACCTAAATCTGGGCACAAGGGCGTCCCACAGGAAGGAAACCTAAATCTACGTATCTATATTTTATAAGCTACTGTGTATAATATAATTCAATGATACAAAATGAAGGGTAAGTGACAAAAAGAAGGAATAAATGATCACAGACCCTTCGTATGAATTTTGTTATTGATTCTTCACATGTAGAGGATGCTGAGTGTGTACCACTAGTGCAGGTTGTTTATCCCCATCCACCGCCATCCTATGCCGAATGTCTCTAGTGTGGATCTCAATACTTTTACGACTTAATACTCAATGCCAGTTTTTTTGAACGATAATAATTTTGTAACTTAAAATGTAATTTAACATAATGGTGTCTTTATGGTTCAATTCAATTCAATTCAATGTATTCTTGTATAACACTAATGGTAACAGTAGTTATCTTGGAGGGCTTAACAAAACTGTTGAAGTCGCCAACACAGATCAGAGAAACAACAGTTCAACACAAGAAACGCAACAATATAATAATAATATCTCAAAGCTCAAATGATAATCAAAGCTGCTCACACGAACCCTGAGGTGTGTGACCAGGACGACTGATGTGTGTGAATTTTGTATGATTAGAAATTGATGTATATGATCTATGTATGATTAGAAACTGATGTATGTGATTTATGTATGATGAGAAATGTACTGAATGTGTTAATGTATCATCTGAATGTGTGGTTGTGACATGTGTATTGTGTAGGTGTGATGCTGTGAATGAAGTGTGGTTTTAACAAACAGGTATGAGGCTAAATGTGTGTGTCTGTATTAGAGAGAATATGTTGTATTGCAAAGTTATTTTTTAGGATTGTACATTACTGTATCCATGTATCTTATTGATGTAACCAGGGACTGCAGATGGAAACTAGCTGTTTAGCTATAATCTGGTGCAGAACATATCTGTCTTTGAGCTTAATGTCTCTGTACACTGTCCCTTCAAATAAAGACTAAACTAAACTAAAACAATAAAAACACATAAAGCCATTGGTCCATAAGGGGCAGATTACCTATGTCCATAAATTAGGATAAATGTCCATACAGTATATGTTGTTGAATGTTTGTATGTCTTATAAGCAAAGAAGAAAATACAATTGATCCAACTCTATTCGAAACCATTTTTTTGAGAATCTGCTCTGAGAATCTCTAATTTTGTGTCCCGTTTAAGTGTTTTCTAAGTATCTAGTTTCGATAAAGAAGTGTCTGGATTACAAAAGCCTGTTTGTGTAATTGCTGTTAATGTGTTTGGAATATACAACATGCTACAATACAGGACGTTGATTACGTAGCGGTGGCGTGTGCATTACAGGGAAGAGTGCGAGGATCGTCTCAGAGCAGAATTCAGGATTGAGATGAACGCTGCAGTGGCCGAGACGGAGCAGAGATGGCAAACGCAGGAGCAGGACATGCAGAGTCACATTGAGGATCTAGAGGCACAAGTGAAGGAGCTGCAGGTCCAGGTATGCTCAAGCTAATGTGTGCACAATATCATATCAGTGAGTATGTTTACAAAGCACTAGTGACAACCAGACCCCCTGCTATTTAGTTGAATTAAGCAAGAAGCATGTGTGAAAAACCAGTCTATATGGCGTTACTGGATTGAACCATTTCTTCTCTGACCACGGTGGCCTGTATCCACATAAACAAGATAGTACTGAGACATGGCAAGCAGAGGCATTTAAATAGTAATTATAACAATGACAATAATGCTTTAATCGACTTTATAGAGTGTATTTTTGGACACTCAAAGACTATGGAAATCAAATGTTTTGTTACTGCTGCTGTTGAGTTTTTCACATTTTGTGTGTGGAAAAACAAGTTGCACAAGATGTTGCATGATTAAAATAGCCAGAAGCGTGCTTGGACAGTATCAATAGTGGTCAGAAAAGTTTGTGAGTAAACTTGTATATGTTTACTTTATATTATTGTGCTTTGTAAACATATTCATTTCAACGTCATTTGAATGTACTCATCTCTAGTACAGTCAGTTCCAATCTACTTGTAGCGATAAAAACCCAACCTAAGATCTGTTCATTTAAAGGTAGTAAACATCATCAATGACATGAAGGAATAATAAAGGTTTTCTTATTGGCGTGTAGAATGTGGACTCAATTTTGCTGCATATTCAAAATCTTTAGCCTTATCCCATAATTTATTCTGTACACAGATGGAAAAAAAGAAAGCTGGATCTGGAGACGATTGTCACATGAATCCTGAGATTGACAAGCTCAGAAAAGAGGTTCAAGACACCAAGGAGATAAACAAGAAACTGAGAGATCTCTTGCAGGTATACACCATGACACACGTTCTTGAAAATGAATGAATTACTATCTGCCAAATGGTTTGTTGTTAATAATTCAGCAGCTTTGATAGCAATGATGAAAGGCAATGACGCTTATGGAAGTATTGTTTCTGTGTTCTGTAGGAACCTCAGGGCCAATCTGAGGAGCGACACAGTCACACCATGGCGCTGCAGGCTTTGGAGAGAAAAGCAAAAGAAGATGTTCTGTCTGAGAGAAACCGGCTGCAAACAATGCACCACCTGGAACTAGGTATTGCACTCTTCTCCTCAAAGCTCATTCGCAGGCCACTCTTTAATGACTTAAGGCGTGCGAATGAGCTTTGGCTACAAACATGAGGATACATGCTACATACTGTGCTACAAAATATGTTGCTTTATTGGACAAATGCACATATTTTAACATGAACTTCTATGGTGCTATTGCCTTTCAATAGGCAATACAGAAAACAATTCCGGGGGGTAAGATAAGTATTAAAACAAAACCAGTGCATATTTGGACACAAGACAGATTAAAGCAGTAGTTCCCAAAGTGATACGCCTGTAAATTTTTGTTTTATTATTACGCTACATTATTTAACTTTTACATTACAATAAAACATTAAACTTGAAGTGATGAAATAGATCACATTAAAAGGATTTTAGCACGATTCGACGTGTGCTATTCTTACTACTTTGAATAGTTGTTCTTCAGTGGGGGTTTCCATTCAAGAATCAAAATTTAATTCAATAATTTATTGTCATTGTCACAAAAACAACAAAATTACAGTTTTAGCCTCATCTTTATAATGGAGTGTATAGGGTGCAGAGTCTGTTTCATGCTGATTTTGGGGGTCTCAGGTAGTTTGGGAACCCCTGGATTAAAGCATAATGAGATTACCACAATTATACAGATTTCATAATTCTCTGGATTTGAACAGTGTTGGATACTTGAAAAATAACATTGCAATTTTTTTTAAAGATGGACAAAAACAGGCATTTTACGTGAACGTCCACATTTATGAATGAAATACTTTGCCAAATTGAAAATCAGCTTGATATGGTTGTCATGCATATTCTCATTAATGGGTTGTAGTAATTAGTCACATCTTTCCAAAACGTAATTAAACAATTGCAAAAAACATGAGATACAGTTTCTGAGGAGAATCTAATGAACTCCTGAGCACACGGCAACGCGCATCGAGATTCAGGCGATTCACCAGTGAAGTTGCTATTGCCATGGATACACTTCACCATGGCAACAGCAGAAGGGTACCTGTAACACTGCTCTGGATTGATTTATAATTTTTTTTCCCCTCTTTTTTTCCCTTTCTTTCTTTTTCATTGTGAATGCTTGTGTGATTCCAGATAAGCAACGAGCTGAACTGACCCAGCAGCACACCGAGTGGAGCCGACAGATGACTCAGAGGCATATGCAGCAAATAGAAGACCTGCAAGCCCAACTACAAGCACACACCCAGATGATGGCGCTACAACAGGTGAACACACATGCATTTCCTCGGTGCCTATAAGCTTGTCGTGTTCGTAAAAGTGTGTCTACGCCCGTAAAATACTGCGGTGATATTACTATTCTCCACGTGTAATCCTCTGTACCACTGGGCTCAAGCCAACAGACTGTGGCGCATAATTAAGCGGCGTGGAGACTGGATTTTGAATGCCAGATTTGAGCTGCAAAGATCTGTGGTGATGTGTGTGATGTGTGAAGGACCTGAAGCAGCAGAACCAGAACCAGGTGTTTGAGAGGCAGCTGGACGAGAGTCGCTGCGCCGTGCTCGAACTGCAGAGGGAAAACGCAACGCTTAAGAGGCAACTCAAGGAAAAGTGAGGGTTTTTCTCTTATACTTACTCATACCTTCTTCGCTGCTGTATGATGTGCCATTTTTCTAAATAAAGTATAGTTACCAGTTGCAACAATCTGTCATAATATTGTCATAATCGATCAAAAATACTAACCACTAAAACCATACATACTAAACCAGGAGAATTATGCAGTGGTAGTATTTCACACAAAACAATCTAGATACAGAAATACACACAAAAATACACTCTCTGACCATACACCTCCCTCCCATTATTCACTTTATCCTCAGGGCATCACTCTCTTTCTTCTACATACTTCTCAAGTATTTGAATTTTTTGAAATGTGAGAAATATTATATGCATTGAAATGTACAATTTGTCACTTTTTTGTAAGTTCCAAAACTAACTTGCTCCTTTAAAACTTAAGGTTTTGACCAAAATCCTAAAACCTTTGTTGAACTTAATGAAACAGTTTTATTAAGTATATACACAAGGCCTACCGAATCGATTATTTTCGAATTTTTAACCTGGTTGAATAAAGGTCAAATAATAGAAAATAGAAAATATAGTAAGAAGTTCTGCGTTGTGAAGCATACTTGTAAACCATGTGTTTTTTGTTTTTTTCTGGACTAATAATTTGTCTGAAAAATAATATACTAGTCAAATAATGTTTGAAATCAAATTACGACCATAATTAGTGTATCCGGTCTTCTACTACTGAGAAATTACAAAGCAGATAATGGGCACTCCTCCGTAGTGCACTTTAAAAGCTTTTTTGATACATCAGTGTATTGGATAAGGCTTTATTCACTTTAGCATTAGGCCTCTTTTTTCTTATATTTTTTTCTCATGTTATTCTTTTGTTTGCAAATAAAGTTCTCATTATTCACACATGTGTGCTCCTCCCAGGGCAGCGCGTGAGAAGCATGAAGTGGAGAAGAAGGAGGATGACAGTGTGGAGCTGGACATAAAGCGAGACGCACAGCTGGAGGAGGAGGCCCAGCGGCTGAAGGAGCAGGTGGAGAAGCTGCGCGTAGAGATGGAAAAGCTGGAGGAGTCGCAGAAAAACTGGGAGGAGCGCAAGGACGAGGATCTGAAGGACGAGGAGGTGGATGAGGAGAAGAGAAGAGCACGTGAGGAGGAGAGGCGTCGCGAGGAGGTGGAGGAGATCCGGAGGGAACACAAGAGGGAGCTGCAGAGCCTGGCCTCAGAATACAGCAGCGCACAGTCGCACCTGCAGGCGCGCATCGTGGCCTTAGAGAACGAGTGAGTTATCAACGCTCTCTCTAGTGTTTACTATTAATAGGAAAAAGACAAAAGGCTAGAGTACCCAACCTTAATTCATCATTAATACTTCATTCAGTCACACAACATGCTGTCTTCATCTTATTAGAAAACATTACATCTTTTGCATACTTGAAAGAAAGAGCCCTGTGAGTCACTAGATTGGGGGTGATCTTTTCTTTTTCACTCTTCTGTCTGAAAACGCTGATCTAAAGATGTGACAAAAGCAATAGACAAGTGAAAACAAGCTATAGACCTAAACTGTTTTGAGAGGTAGGAAATAGTTTCCTGAAGTAGTAGTAGTACTAATAGTAGTTGTAGTTCTTCTTCAATCTTTTACGATCTCAAAGTTTGGTACCCCAGCTTTAACCCTCCTTTCATCTGGTCTCTGTGTCCGCTGATATGTATTATTCATCTATTTTAATTGTTATGTTTCATGATCACATGATACACACTGCAACAGCCGGGCTAATTCTCAATGATAAACATAAAGACAGAAAACACATGATTTCAAGATGGCCACATTCATGACCTTTTATTGAGAAGTTATGAAGATACAAGAATTTATTTGCCATTTGCAGTAAAAACCAAATTGATAAAACTGTGCAAGACCAGTGTGCCCCAATAGTACACACCAGAGCTCCTACCATGGTGCCATTTTTCCCAATTTGTTTCTTCCTTTAGCTTCTCAGATAAACAGTACCATTCTTTAGTGCCTACCTTGAAGACTGTCCAAAAGTCCTTTTACGTCTCTGCTCTCAGGAATGAATGTGACTCATTGCCCAACACTGCCAATAATGGACTAGTTTTGCGTTTTCATAGTATTTTGTGACGTTTATAGTTTTATTTCGTCTTCCACATTCAGGCTGTGTAAAATCTGAAAACTGGGGCAGGGGAGAAACACACATGATGGCTGAGCTGATGTTTAAAAGGCTCTCTCTGCGTCTGCGTGCTTTATGTTTTCTTTCAGGCTGCGTGAGCGGGAGGAGCGGTGCAGGGGGAGGCAGAGTCGATGTGAGGATTTGCAGTTGGGAAGACTTCAGGAGAGACTGACAGAGAGGGACCAGCTCATTAAACGATTAGTGGTGAGAAAAGAAAAAACACACCTCCTACAAGCACCACTCATCTCATTGCTGTGACAGTTGCGTAATTTCTTGATTACACTGAACACACCGCACGGCGGCTAAGACAGGATTTTACAACCAACTGAGCCAGATAGCACCATGAAAAAAATCTATATTAAGATTAATCTATAGCCTAACTTTAAACTAAGTTGATAGAGAATAATTGAATTAATCTCAATGGCTGTTTTTCATTAGATATTGGCTTTAGTATTTGGGCAGCTTAACCCACCAAAGCAATTGATTGAGCGGCCCTGGGTCATTTAGACCATTTTAGACCCTAATTGAGGGTCTACAAGCTCCATTATTTTAGGGTCTACTTTTTATTTTTGTTTGACTAGCAGACTAGTAGATTGTCTCACTATCAAAGATGTGGTACCTATCTTTCCAACCATAAAAAATGAACTATGTAACAAAATGTATCAATCGGGTTTGGTCTGTTTGAGTTTTGACGTGCAGGTATGTTCAGCTTTTTCAGAAACGTGAAAAAGAGATGGTCACTCTCACTCAGCCAATCAGCTCTCTGCACAAAGCGTCAAATAGTGACTTGAGCATGACAAAGATAACAAAATTATTATTCTAATGTATTATTTATGAAAATGTTTAGGTACCCCAGCTTTAAGTCAGAATATAATTCATGAATCAAAAATCTACATAGGGTTTTTAGGTTTTGCTTTCACTGGCCTTACAAAGAAAACTGGAGCAAGCTAATATTTTCACAAATCTTAGACACACAAGGCAGTTTGTGCATCATGTGCCAAATTCCTCTGCCTGCCATCTGTGCGGCATGAGGGAGCTTAGCAAACAAGTACAGCCTCAAGACCTGTGCCGATACCACAACAACTGTGAATAAAGCCGTTCAAAAGTCCTTCTCCGTCCTCCAGGAAGAAAGGCATCAGCTGCAGCTCCACCCTCCTCCTGTTGTGAGGGACAACAGCCCTGAGCAATGTGACAACAAGTCCCGCCCAGGAAGTGCCACTCCGACCATGAGGGTACGATGGCGATGGGCAGAGACCATGGACTTGATTGCAACAAGCATGAACTTATATTATAACCATATTTACTTCTTACATTATCTAACCCCAGCATGTGCAAACTAAAGCCTGTAGGCCAAATGAGGCCTGTTGTGTCCTTTTATGTGGCCCTCTGCCTTGCTAACACCAAGTAACCATTGAGGAAACTTTCACAGTGTCACCCAGCCAACTTCAGCTCCACCATTCATGCTGTATTTCGTTGTGAAGGTTGTGATCTCTGGAATCCAACTTTACTTGTATTACTGACTGATTTTAAAGGCAGATCTGCGCGGTGGCACAGCAGTAAGCACTCTCGCTACTCAGCAAGACGGCCCTGTGTTCAAATCCCGTTGGAACAGGGTCTTTCTGAGTGGAGTTTGCATGTTTTCAACAGGAAGAGAAACGAAAACTTACTTTGAACCCCAAGGTAGTCACTGAAGTTAGTATTAGCGCCACCAGCTGGACCCAGCGTTGTAATACACTCGCATTACGGCTAGCACTAGACCTCAGGCCGTCTTCACACCCCAACGCAACGATCCGGGCCAATTTGCCTAGTTCATTAGTGAAAACCTATGTGACTGTGGGGCTGTTGCTAAATGCATGTTGTTTATAGAATTTTGTTTTTTTCATATTTGGGTAAGTAACTAGAACCAGTTCATCTTTATTAATGTTGAAACCAATCAACTCATCTCCTTCAGAATCCTTTATTTGAACATAAGCTTGATATAATTAGGGAGGCTCAAAAAGCCATTTGTGGGATTATAATCTTTGAAAGCCATCTGCATTGTTCTATTATTCCAACAGTACACAACATAAAAAGCCAGCAGATGATCTGATTACAGTCATGTCATAAAAACTAAATACTTTCGACGTTCTTAATTGATATTCAATCCATATGTCCGTGTACTTTCATGCAGCAATCATTGAAATACTGAATACAACTCATACTGGATCACCTTCCCCCCGTCCTAGAGTGACGGGGGGAGGTCCTTTCTCAAGTGGAGGGGATCAAGTATCTCAAGGTCTTGTTCACGAATGAGGGAAGGATGGAGCATGAGATTGACAGGCGGTTCGATGCAGCATGTGCAGTGATGCGGTCGCTGTATCAGACCGTTGTGGTAAAGAGGGGCCGAGTCAGAAGGCAAAGCTCTCGATTTACCGGCCAATCTTCGTTCCCTCCCTCACCTATGGTCATGAGCTTTGGGTAATCACCGAAAGAACGAGATCACAGATACAAGCGGTCCAAAAGAGAGATAGGGTGAGGAGCTCAGTTAGAAGGGAGAAACTCTGAGTAGAGCCGCTGCTTCTCCATGTCAAGAGGAGCCAGTTTAGGTGGTTATGGGCCTCCATTTCAACTGCTTCCTGGAAGCCACCCGGGGGACATGCTGGAGGGACTGGAAGTGAAGGGGAGGTGTTCACGTCTTAAAGTTTGAATACTATCCGTTGCATGAAAGAGTTTTGCTAGTTAACATCAGACTGCTGGGTTTTTCCATAAAAATGATTAAAATGGCCTGTGTTGTTTTTCCAGCGAAAGAACGCAGAGTCCTCTCGAGTCACCAGCATCTCCAGCAGCAGTTATGACCGAAACATCTTCCACTCTTCGCCGTCTTCCACAACGTCTTGCCATCATTCAAACTTCTCCTCCACCCTGCCTCACCCATCCTCACATCCACACACCACGCACTACTCCACCTCCTCTCTGCCGCACAAGCACTCGTCTCTGGGCCAGCATTCCAGTCCAGCCACGCCGCGCTCTACCCGATCGCGCTCCTCCTGTATCCCTGCCACCCCAGCGCCCACCGCTCCCCTCCCCGTCTGCCCCTCATCACAGACGGGCATCCGCTATGTGTCCCCTTCATGCCTCGACCCACACCTACAATCAATCAGGTAAATGAAGCAGATGGTGGAAATACTGAGATCACGTTTGATATAAAACTTGGATCGATTAAACAGTGTCAATAAAAGTACATTTAATTTACATATTTTCTGAGAGGCAATGATGTCAGTTTGTGGGATGAAACACTGGGATTTCATGAATACATTTGGTATTTGGATGTCACCTGTATGATTCCAAGAACTGAATCACCCAGGTTTTTTCTATTTTTTTGCTAGAAAGACACAGTATGTAGAATTGCCTGGTCCTGTCTTACTGCTAATTTACACATCACACGTTACAGCACGTACGCGTTATACGCGCAGCAGACGCGCGTAACTTTTTTCCATGTTAACCTATGATGATATTTACACTTCTAGCGTTATACGCACGTATGACGGACATGTGACGCGAAGCTGCGCTCTAATTTAGGATGGATTTCTAATTTTGTGCGCGCACCAACGCGTCTCCCATTGAAATCTCATGTAAAACTTTATTTTTCTAGCGGTCCTTGGCTTTAGATCACATCTGCACACACACAGCACTTGTGTCTAAACATCAGCAGGAGGAGCAGCAGGTTTTACAGTGATTCTGGACATCGTTTTTTTTCTTTCATAAAGTCTCGCGTCTGGACAAACCAGCGCACAGAGACCATGAAGACAAACACATGCATGTGATTTGTGTTGCTCTACATCAGTCCTCTGGCCCGTACTGTCCTCTACACTGCTCCATAGACTACACAGGGACAGCATCAGAAGCCGCGGACCTGCGCGCACGGTCAGTGTAGATACTCCAAAAAAATGTTACGCGCAGTAAACGCGTACGCGCTGTTTGCGCCTACTGTGTAAATTTCCCGTTAATTATACATAATACTTATAACAGCATATAATAGTGTTTTATATTTACCTTTTTGTGTATGAATAGATTGGTGGGATTCTTTTGTGTTCTACATAGGTTTTTTTAAATAAACAAATGTTATGTTGCTGCTGAGCTGATCACAGACCAGACACACTGGATTTTACTAAAGAAACTGGCAACCCAAATAAGACCTCTCATTCTGCTTTCTGGATACTTGGGATGCACCATTCAGTTAAGAGTTCCCTTTAATGGACCTCAGGTTCACTCCCTTCATTTGTGGCAATGTGAAACAGAGGTCTAGTTGTTAGGGAATTAATCTTAATACCATCCTCTTCATGAATATTTCTGTTTTATTAAGGAATGTAAAATGTTTTGTTTTCCAGGGGTCCGTATCTGGAGCCAAGAGGGACTGGAGGGCTAAAACAGGAGTGGTACACCAAATACTTCTCCTTCTGAGCACAAATGCACACATACGTAGCTGCAATTTACATAACATTTAATCATATAGTCTAATGCTTCATGTAAACGTCCATTTGCTTCCTACATCCAGAGAAAATCTTTTTATTCAGATAAGCACAGATTGATACTGACATTAACATGGACTCATCACCAGCAAGGCCATCTCTGACATTGCCTCTAAGCTCAACCAAAAAGTGCTTCTCCAACACATGCCTGACCTCTTCTTATGTCATGGCCTGTCAGATTGTGTTTGTATAGTTTGAGACTGTTTCATTGTATGTTGTTTTTTAAAGTCGTCTTCCTATTTTTAGCGGCTAATTTCTTCATAAATCACAGTCTGTGTTTATACTCTTCTTGTATGGACTATCCATAGCATAATCAAAATTCTTGTTATATGAAATACACAACGTACCATACCAAAACAAACCTTGTTTTGATGCAAAATGTATAATATTGATGTAATAATAAATAAAATATTTTTTCTGTGTTTTATTCATTTTGTAAAAAGCTCACATGCGAACTATATTTTGCTATACTAAAACGCTGATGCAGCAATAATTAAGAAAATCTGTTGACTGTTTTAACCTAATTCACAGAAGGAATTTGCACTAGTAAGCTCATAACGTTGGAGAGGAGTCTTTACAAGGCAGTGAGTTGAGGGTCAGGGCCACACCATGGCCGTACGCAGGGAGAGTTCACTGAAAGAGGGGGCTGTTCCAGAGAACCTCTGTGGCAGAGCGGAACTGCAGGACGTTGTCATAGAAACTCTTCAGCTCGTCCTTGTTACGCTTCCCCGCCGACCTGCGATACTTCATGTGCAACAGCTTGGAGCACAGGTAGTGGAGCCACAGGACATTGGAGTGAGGGTTGTAACTGTCCCACTCGTTGCTATTCCGGAAAAAGGCAGAAACAAATATATGTTGTTAGTTAATGAAGACGCTTAAGATGGCATTATTCTTTCACGTCATATACAGTGGTGATGAACTCCTACGGTAGCGACAGGGGCACACTGAGAGAAGAAAGGCAACCCATATGCGCTCCATCAGCTAAGACTACCACCAATCATTAACACCCGACTCATTCTAGACAATGTGGGTGAAGTGTCTAGCCCAAATAGACGACAGTTTGGCTTTTTACAGCCCCAGCCGCACCACTGTGGCACCTGGTGTTCCCAGAGGTCTCCCATCACAGTACTAACCAAGCCCTGCCTTCTGAGCTCTGACAGGATCTATGGCCACATTATTTGGAAGCCTTGTCATTGGAACTTCGGCTTGTTGGGCAGAAGTCATTCCAGTGGAGATGTCATCTTTTTAATAATTTGCAGCATAATTGGAAAAACTATCATAATATCCACAACTCAGGCCTGATTAAAATATTTTTAAGAAAAGATTTAAAAAACACTTCAACTCAAGCGTTTTTATAAAATGTCTGCTGTGAAAAATGCTGGGAGTTGTGTGTTTATTAATCATGTCAGATCTTCTTGAAGTTATTTTTACTTTGAACAAAATTACCCTTTATACACAAAGGACATTGGAAGTCACATTACAATAACAATGTTGGTCAGAAATGTTACAATTAGGTAATTTTAGATTATTAGCCTCTTAACGGTCAAACAATTGAAGTACTTACTTATTTTCCTGTCTCATTAGTCTATAGATGTCAAACTGGTAATCGCCCTGACCCATGAAAAGCTCCTCATCATTGGAAATGTCACAGGACACAGTGAGTTCATCTGATCAGAAGAAAACATGGCTCAGTTCTTTGTCGACAGAAACTGTTTGAGAGTGCAGACAGAAACATCTTTTTCTGACCTATTTCCAACCTGGAGAGTGAATAGTCTATGATGCGGACAAGCACTCCTTTAGTTTCTAGAGAGTGGGACATGCCGTTAAGTTTGAATTCTGCAGTCTTCTCCTTAGTGACTTTAACCAGCACATTCCCCCAGTGAAGGTCCCTGAGAACCACATTAAACACAAGATAGTTTGACTGTCGACCTATGAGAAAAAATAATGTTAGAGAAAATGTGTTTTTACCGGTGTTCAAATTGCAGCTCCTGCTCAGCAACAGCCAAGGCAGCTGTGACTTGGTGCAGAATCCCCTTTGCAGCTATGATGGATGGCAACTTGAAAAGAAGAAAACAGTTACATTTTGCATCAAACAGTGTCACACATGCTTTTGTTGTTGCATTGTTATGTGTCCAGGGTGGTACACTTCACCAGTACAACTTAATTATCATATACATCAGATTTGTCACTTGTCTAATACAGGGGTTCCCAAAGTTTTTAGCCCGCAACCCCCATCATAAATGCCCTGCTAACAGCAAAAAGGTCCTGGGTTCGAATCCCGGTTGGACCAGGGCCTTTCTGAGTGGAGTTTGCATGTTCTCCCCGTGTCTGCGTAGGTTTCCTCCGGGTACTCCGGTTTCCCCTACCACTAAAAATATGTACCACAGTTCTGGCGACCCTGCTCCCATTTCTGTGTGGAGTGAGAGACTAATGCCCAAAAATAACAATTGTAAACCACTTTGTGACTCTGGTCTGCAGTGAAAAGGCGGTATATAAATAAAGATTACTTACTTACTACAAGTGTTTAAGAAACTCTTGCAATGTAGTACACTTACCACCCCATTGCTGTTCTCTAGATCCGTTCCTCCAAACTCAAACTCCAGAATGATGAACAGCTGATTATCCCCAAAGAAATCTAAACCATATACACACAAGTGAACAAAATGAGCCATGTAGAGGAAATGGGAATAGAATATCACTTCATAGAATAAATCACTTCCTTACCCGGCCTATCGTTCTCTGAGCCTTTTACTTTGTCAAACTTGTCCCACGCCTTCAGAAACTCTGGAGGGTAAGCCCCCTTCACACAGTGGAGACTAAAACATGACAGAATGTTAAAATGCTGCATATTCACATAAAGATAGTAGGTAATCTTGTAATGAAACTGATGTATTGCGAGAAAAAAATCATCAGAAGGGTAAAACGTCCCTTGCCGAGTAAGTAAGAATAAAACAAAGGCAGTAAATTCCAGCCATATAACAGAATCTATATTAAAAGATACGACAGTTATAGTAAAAGTAAAAACACAGGAACTTACTCTCTGAGACCAATAAAGCCACTGGTCTGATTGTTTTCCTTCTCCTTTAGGCAGCTCAGCTCTCTGGAGAAAAACAATACTATTAATTACCATCTTCAAGCATAATATTAATTTCTTAAACATATAAAATATTCTTCCAACGTCACTTACTTGGAGATAATAATTTCATGTAAAATCTCGCCGAAGGTCTTCTGCTCCTCACCATTTACCTTCTCACTGCCCTCTACTGGTATAACCTTGTCAGGACAGGAGGTAGCTCAGTATAGTGACAACAGACAAGCACAAACCAAACAGGAGCACACCAGACCCCACCCTTTTCATCAAGCCTCAAGTTTCAGACGAGACTCACTTGATGAAATGTTTGGAGTCTGTGTGTGACTGACTTACTTTGAGGGCAACAATCTCTCCATCAGGCTTTCCACTAGTTGTAGAGAAGACCTCTCCGAAAGTGCCTTCCCCAATTTTTACACATTGTTTTATGCGCTGAGGCAGAAGACACTGGTCCCAGGCCAGAGGACCCTGCTGGCTGCACTCGGCACACACCTTCTCTGCATCGGACATGTCTTCGTCCAGCACAAGCTGAAAAGCAGACGGAAATACAAGTTTGACAATTAAAGAAAGACGCCATTCAAAACATTGCAAATGGGTTGAGAGTGCAAGTATTACACAATCAAATAAGACACAGTGAATTTTAGCAGACAAGTACATGCAAAACCACAAGTTAGGGTTGTTTTAATTATTATTGTGATAAATTAGTTGGCAAGTTATTCTTCAATTAATTAGTAATTACAGGTCAGTGATTATGGGATTTTATGCAAGCACAAAATTATAATGGTTTAAAGTCCTAGTTTATTAACTATAAGGACCTATAGGACCTTCATAATCAATTACTACATTAGCTGACAACCATTTCAATAATCTACTTTTCACATCCTGAGTGAGGTTTTTTTCAAATGAACATAATAAGACGGTAAAAATCTGTAACTAAAGATTAACTACCTGAGATTCACGAGTAATCAGCTGTGACCGCGTAGTTCGGACTGGAGTTGTAAAAAGATCCGGGCTGAAGGCCTCCAAAACCTTCCTTGAACACATGCTAGCTCCAGGAGTCTTTGGGGTACAAATTACTATAGGGTTGTAAAAAAAAGGTAAAGTCAACATTAAAAATTACAATTGTTGTAAGCAGTAATACCTTTGCGATGAACCGAGAGCGCAGCTTTGAGGCGACTCCAGGTGTGTGTACTGGGAGTCAATTCAGCCAACAGAGAAGACAGGTTGAGATTGTGGCCTTTGATTGGGGTAGTGAAATCCTTGTCAATATAAATGAGAAAAAAGTTGGGTTACAAATGTGATACAGGAATTTAAATGCACGACGCTGGCTATTCTACATGTGACATCATAATAACCTTCCTATACAACTTGAGAATGACAGTTGTGTATTGTAGGATTGTCTCACCATTGGCTGCCTGTGTTGTCGTGGCATCAGATCATTGATACTGCAGTCCATCGTCTTGGTGCCTCCTCTTTGTCCAAAGGAAGCAGTGAAGGCATCTCTGCTTTTCCATCGCTTCACACTCAGTCCACTAACACAAGCTTTTCTGGTTGTTCCAGGTCGCTGGGTTCCACAGGCTCGCTCTTCAGAAGCCAAGGATATTTTCCGTCTTTTCTTGCTAGGCTCGTTATTGGAACAGGCAGAGGTCTCGTTTCTCCACATCGTATCTCTGTTCTCTTTGAGGCGATCCATTTTGCCGTCACTCACCCTACCCAATACAGATACACTTCTGTCTGATATGTTCTCTTGCGATGTATGTTTAATTTCTGCAATTGACAATTTATTAATTTTGACAAGAGGTTTTCTAACAAGGCATTTCTCTTTCAACTCGGATGTTTTATAATGCGTCTCATTGAACAGGGAATCAGCGGTTGTTTGGTTGTGAGATCGCATGGGTCTTGGTTCCGGCGTCAGATAAGGCTCAATCCTTGATTGTGGTAACTTTTGAACTATGACTGAACATCCTCTAGAAAGAGACTCTTTTTCTATTGTTGAGGATAAATCCTGTGTCAGATCTTGGACCTGCTGCATTTCAGATTCACAGAAAAGATCTATGATGGATGTGTGCCCCAGCTCTGAACATTTGTCTGACGCCGAAGGCTCAAACACCACATCTACGGACTTTGAACTCTCGGGGGACTTCACGTTATCACATGTTGCAGCTAAATCAAGACTACTGGGGAGTTCTGAATGTTTAACATGGTCATCCATGTGAGCAGAAACTACAGACAATGAATGCTCATTCACATTAGAACTACAAACAGACCCTGAACATGATGAATAGGTCGTTTCAGTGAAAAGCTGGACCAAGTCTTCTATATGTTCCAGACGCACTGTACAAAGCTGGGTCAAGCATTTGTTTTTCAAATATTCCGTGAGCCAATCTATTTCTCCTGAGGCAGATTTAAAGTAACTGCTTACATCACTGTCAGAGATCACAAGGGGCAGACTTGGACTGCTCAGGTGTGCCTCTTCATACTGGCTTTGGCCTGACCCATTTAGGCTCTTTGAGAGGGCGATGGTTACATTACTGGACAACACTTCATGATGCAATTGTGAATGTTTTTGCAACTCTGCAGACATCATTGGTTTTTCAACACAAGCTGCAGATGCATGATGTGGAGAGTTAATCAGTTCTGGGCTTACGGGATCTATACAGCTTATGGAATTAGGCACAGGACTAGAAACTTGATGAAAACTTTCAAGCTTTGATTTTTTGTTCAAGGGGACAGCTGAAGGTGTGGAACAGAAGATTGGTTTTCGGGAGCATGGCCCAAGACTGCGTTCAACTGATTCATTGAGAGAAATTTCTCTAAGTGGAATTGTAGCTATGCCCTGAAGGACTGCTGCATTCACAGAAATGTCGGCACTCGATTCAAGGAGAACTAAAGGGTATCGTTTCTTTGATGGATTCCGACTGGTACGTTTCAATGGGACGAAGTCTTCAGAGGAGTTAAGAGAAAGCAGACGGGCCTTTGATGAAACTGCAAATCTCCTACGAGTAACAAAACGTCCTGCAGAGGGACCAACACTGGCAGATTTTTTTTTTTTAATTAAAACAACCTCTCAATAAAAACACACACACATTATGGTGATTACTTACATTGAGTCCTTTAGAATTGTATTGTGATGTGTTGTTTTTTCTTTCTCACTTGATCTTGACTTGGAGCCACTGTTATAATAAAAAGTTCAATACTCAGAGACAAAATACTTCAGCTTTAGAACAAACAATATATAAAAAAATCCTAATAAACACAGACCTGCTCTGATAGGAAACCAGCGGACACTTGTTTCTATCTGGGATGTCATCATTGTTGCTTATGGGCTTTTTTCTCCTGGAACAAAGGATTCGACAGCTAGTAACAATATAATTATAACTGTATTAGTATAGCATTTACACATTGCTTGGGATGTAACTAGGGCTGGGCAATAAATCGAATTTTGGCAATTTATCCACTTTTGAAAAAAATCGAATTTGTGAAAAATGTGAAAATTGTGAAATCGAATGAAAGATAATGTGAGAGTTCCAGCAGCACTTGAATCATACTTGCAATATCAGCTCAGTCTGTACAAGACTTTTATAATACGTATTGTGGGAAACAAATTAAAAATAGTTTTGAATTTTGAATATTGAGCGGAAAGATCAACAATTATTTTTAAGGACAAAGTCGTTCTTTAGTGACTTTAATGAAAATCAATTTAAAATCGAAATATACCAAAGCAGGTGATAAAATCGAGATTTTACTTTTTTGCCATATCGCCCAGCCCTAGATGTAACCAATGAAAACAACCTGCCCCACATGGGGGACACATGTGGTTATTTCACGAGCACATACCTGCCCCTCCTGATGTTTTGAGTGGGTGCCACATTTTCTTCATCACTGCTCACACTTTGGACCAGAGGTTTTCTTTTACCAGCTCGAATTGGACGTCCAATTGGTTTCGGCCTAAAAGAAAATACGAGTCAGACATCAATAGAGTGGGCAACAATGAGCGAGAAGATAATGTTAAGAAAGTTTCATACCGAGCGGTGGATCGTGAAGGAGGCACAGCATGTGTAAAAACGTCATCCTCCTCCTCGTCATCACTGGTCGGGAGTGTTTTTGTGGCTTTCCTCCGCTTAACAGTTGTTTTTCTATGACTGCAATTGGACGCATTGAAGTTTAAAGCATTAAAACCCCATACAAACAGCTTTGAAGTGCCATGTCTAACCTTTTCCGCCTTGGTTTCGGGGCCTGTTGCACAGAGGACTCCGATGAAGTGCTGTCAAAGACCTGCTTTCGGTCACGGTCCTGGATGGACACCCAGGCGGACAGCTTTGTTTTGTGCTTTCCGTATGTATTTAGGTACTTCATGATGGACGTTAAAAGCGATAAAAGACTTGATTATGGACGTATTTCTACAACATATCCATGACTGCAGCCCGCTTTTCTTTGAAATGGAAACAAGCTGTGATTGGTCAAAAGCATAACCTGACAAATAATACTGCGCCCCCTGCTGGTTTGGAGACGAACTGCCTGATACTTCACCTGTTCGCCACTAGAGCTCAGTAGAGATGACTATTTCAATTACAGACGACAAGTGAGTTTTATACAGTCTATGGCTCTATGCTAATAATAAATCTAATCCAAGTCCAATTTTGCATATGTTTGTATATTAAAATTAATTGTGTCCATGTTAAAAACCCTATCCTTTAACATGGTCCAGGTATTGGGCACCAGAATAGACACGCCAAGTTTTGCCGTCTCATTAGACCAAAATATACACATCATGACAAATGTTTTAGCGGTATGGAAAGTGGTGTAGCTTTTCGTTTATTCTGTTTTTTGGTATCACGCATTTTTTGCAAGTGGCAATGAGAAGAAGTGTCAATAGTAGTGCCAATAGTAGAGTAGTGCAGGTTTTATCAGTCTTAGTGCAGTGACTTAAAGTGACTTATTGTACAGTCGGCTACATCATTTTAAAACCATACAATCAATCTAACTAGTTCCCCACTCTTGTTTTTGCATGCATGTGTTTTTTAATCTCTCTTATATTCAGACATAAAAGTGAAATGAAAAGGACAAACTCTCACTCAGAAGCGTCAAAATATAGTTTGTATAGAAGTATACAAAAGATAATATTTTCTAAAAAAGCAGAAGAAAGCATGTTATGGTCTGATTGTTCAAATAAGTTAGGTACCCCAGCTTTGGAGTAGTTGCAATGCAAACATAGCCCACTGCACAGACTGCTCTACTTTATATTCAAAGACCCATGCTTCAGCTTGAGATCCCCAGGCGGGCCCCGTCTTCACCCGGAGTCTCCCTCCCCTCCCCCCTCCCCTCCCCTACCCTCCCTCCCCTCCCCTCCCCTACCCTCCCCTACCCTCCCCTCCCCTACCCTCCCTCCCTCCCCTCCCCTACTCCCCTACCCTCCCCTCCCTACCCTCCCTCCCTCCCCTCCCCTACCCTCCCCTCCCTACCCTCCCTACCCTCCCCTCCCTACCCTACCCTCCCCTCCCCTACCCTACCCTCCCCTCCCCTCCCCTACCCTCCCCTACCTCCCCTCCCCTACCCTCCCTCCCTCCCTCCCTCCCCTCCCCTACCCTCCCCTACCCTCCCCTCCCCTCCCTCCCCTCCCTCCCTCCCTCCCCTCCCCTACCTCCCCTACCCTCCCCTTTCGGTCAGTCTGCACAGCGCATGCACCAGGGGAGGGGACCGATCCATCCAGCCAGCCCACCTCCCAGAGCTCAGAGGCCGGAGAGGGAGGAGACAAGCACGGGCCACAGCGAGAGGACGTGACGCCGCTCAGAGGAGGCGAGGGATGTGGTATGCGGAGACTGTTTATCCGTGCAAGAAAATATTCGCTGTCTTTACGGTTTCTTCAAATGACCAAAGCGTGAGTATGTAACGTTGCCTTTTGTGCTGCTCTGGTTCTCGCTGGGGCCTGTGGAGGTAGCTGCTGCGGACTGGATGGTGAGGGGGGGACTGCTGCGCCAGATGGGGCATTTGCAGCTCCCAGCATGAGCTCCTTTGACTTTATTGTCTTGGATTTGGCTGTGGTGGTTGTGGTGGTTGCTCAATGACTTTTTATGGTGTTGGAAACTGCTGCTTTATGTGTGTCAGAAAACAGCCACCATATAGGGGACGTGGTGGGGTTAAGGTTAGCTGAGACCACGGGCAATATCACTCATATTGAACTGCGATGGGTTGTAAAATATATGCTTTTATTAGTATATATTTTAAGTATTAATTTCAAAATGTTATTCTCTGAATATCCTCTTTGCTCTTGCAGCTATGCTCTTATTATAACTCGAATAGGTAGCTCATATTGACTTCTAGTTATCTGTAACCTACTTATTATAGCAACTAAACTTGACAACAAGTCACACTAGATATAAGGTTGAGCAGGGAAGAGAATTTATGGCACTATATTGTAATAAAGGTTTTTGAAAATATATACAATTGGTCTATTACTTGGGCCTACATCTCTTTACTTCTCCCCTTTGGTCCTTCTGTGGGTGCCACTGCTCTTTTGGACTCCTGATGTGTTGTGTCTTATCCCATGCAGGTCTATGGGCCACTGTTAAAGAATGAAGGGTCTCTTTATGGAGGACAAGGGGTAATTCTCATGAACTTGATAGGAGGTTTTCAGACCCCTGAGGCTGAGGCTGTGTCTTTCTATCGGTGCTTGGTGCTGCTGGACATGGCTCACTAATCGTTTCCATCCTTGCTCTGGCACTTCTCTGTTTGACCCCAGGGATAATACGCCTGTTTATGTGATTGCTTGTTTATGTGACAGATTGAAGAAATTGAGAAAATGACATGAATGACTTTCCTGTTATGATCTTGGAGTGGACTGGATACAATATGGTGGTTTGATTTGTGGATGGGATCGTTGTAACTGGTTGCTTTTCCATTGCAAATGCAACTGTGTCATTTGAAAGAAAAACATGTAATATCAATTTTATTTAATAAGTAAACCTTTTGTCACATAATGTAGTATTTTTAACATTTTTCAAAGCTCATTTAGCACTGTTTTTGTTCACATATAGTCGTGGAAACTAGCTACTACCTTCAATAAATCCACAACTGGCCATATCACCACCAATCATACATGCACACAACAGAATGATGTCTTTCCTAAGGAGATCTCATCAAAGACAAAACCCGACTTTCTGCATTAGACAAGATATAGACCTATACATTTATTTTCTAATCTTTCACTTTATAACTTAAACCAAATAATGAACAGAACTGAACATGTATGAACAGACTCGCCCCATTACAATAGCAAGTGTGTACATCATATAACATGGCTGTTTGCATGTTGAACGTGACAATAACATGAATTACCAAAGGACTGCACCGCTGAGGTTTTCGCTCTACCTTTTCCATTCGCCAAGTCTCCTGCTGCATATACTTTGCATAACATTTTCCATGAGGCATTTAAATAGTGCCTTGTGTATAGAATCCACATTAAAATATTATTATAGTTCCACCAAAAACAATGTAGACATTGTACACAGCATTGACTTTATGATGCGCTATGAAACTTTTCCAGGAAGTGCATCACCTTCTCGCATACTTAGAGAATATCGTATTGCCTGAATTTCAATAATGACATTTTTACATCATCTTGAATTTATTGCCCAATAAAAGTGTGTATATTGCTCAAACATAGGTTGACTTGATGACATCCTTTCTGGAGATGGATACGTTAAATTCTTTTTTGTGTAAAGTAGCATCTCCATATATTTAAGGATTTGGCTCGTCCTCCTAAAAGTGACATAATGCAAGCCTGTTTAATTACTGTAGTGCCTCTTGCATGAGTTGACATTTTAGCAACAATTGCTTCTTTTGGAGAGTGGATTGTAGTCTTATTTGCTGTGTCATTACCTTTGTTAACCGGCCACAAATAACTCGCACTTGCTCTCTTTCATATCCTCTCAGTCTCTCTCCTGACTGAACTGAACCTGGCCAAAGACTGCAGTGAGTGCCTGTGAGGACATGATGTCATTCCTAATTGCTTGGGGCTCCTGAGCTAGTTTTATATTCTTTGCGTAAACACTTTATATTCTCTGCTTCAGTTTCCCCCTCCTGGCTTCTCTGTCCTCGATGGTTCAGCAGTGTTTTAAAAGTTCCATCTCAAAGAAAGTTCTGATTCAAGTGCAAGAACTATAAAAAAATCACAGAAACATGGAAAAGAGCAGCTGTTCCAAAGACTATAAAATAGACTTTGACTTTCATCCAAAGAATAATGCAATATGTTGCTATTTAAATTGGTTAATCTCTTTCAGCTCAAGAGTAAATGCATGCCAAATAATAGTATAGTGATAGTGATAGTTATTGGACTAGTTCTTTGTAATTTTTATAAAGTTAAGATACTATTTTTTTATTACATCAGGCTAAAAAGATATTATGGAAATGTAGGTATAGGTTCATTTTTATGCAAAAAGTAATAATGGGAAAAATAATACATTTATTTTGATTTAAATTTGTATTGTTTATTTAGATGCATTATTACTGCTCATAGATGTTGTCTTTATTGTGCAGACTTGGGACATGGACATTTATGGGCATAAGTTTTCCTTATTTTTAAAATTCCCTCAACAGGAGAGTACAGGGGACCTGCCTCATGCAGCACTGTGGACAGATTTAGCCATTGAGTCATTTAACCTTGTGAGACTGTAGGCTGTCAGACCCCGAGAATACTTCAGATACTCCATATCTCTGCTTTAGCTCCTGTTCAGGCCACATGAGGTACAATTATGTCAGCTACTGTCTGAGGCGGTGGTGGGACTTTCCTGCCTTGGAGCGCACATGCTCCGTGGTCGGTATCGCAGTAAACAGCTGATGTTCATGCGCTGACAAACTTTAGATACAATGTTGATTACTTTATCTCTGGGTGAGGAAATTATGCTTTCTTCATTGAGCACTAATTGAAAATATATCACCAAGCAGCATTAAACGGCCTTTGCCAAGCTGCGCAACTTTCTTGTAGACACGGCACACTCTTGACCTGGGCGGCACGGTGGCTGAGTGGATAGCACTCTCGCTTCTCAGCAAGAAGGACCCCGCATGTTCTACCTGTGTCTGCGTAGGTTTCCTCCGGGTGCTCCGGTTTCTACCACTAAAACATGCACAATAGGTATGAATGTGAAATGAGAGAGTGAATGGATGGTGTTGATTGGGGCTGATGCGCCAGTGTGTTCGGCGACTCGCTTCTGTCATCACCGTGTGTGGAATGATTGGAACAATATCTGAACTCTGAACATTGTAAAGCGGTGACCTTGGTCTGTAGAATGCGCTATATAAATAAACATTACTTATTTACTTACTTACTTACTTGACCTACTTGTGTTTGAGGGGTGCCATTGCGCCTATACGCTCCTTTATACTGCCATAACCGGTGTTGGGCAAGTTAGTTTTTCTCCATTTTTTTTTCTTCTGCTGATCACGTAGTGGCATTGTATTAAAAAAAAAAGCACATTTTAATTTTGGGTTAAAATGTAATGCACTGACCTTTTGTATCGAGTCAAATATTACCCAATTAATTACATTACACACATTACTCCCAACACTGGCCATAACCCCTCTACATGTTATGGCATCTGAAAAAATGTGCATTACATTATTGTAAAATAGCAATTGTTAATAGTGCACAAAAAATACCTGCAATGTCAGTTGAGTGGTTTCACACATCTAGTGCCAAAAATGTGCCAAATTACATTAATGATCATCAGCCAGTGTTTTATGTTTATCCTGTTTTGAATGAATGAATGAACGAATGAACAAGCTACAATATAGTTTTGACTTGGATGGACTGCTCCAATTCAGCTTTCGGCTTCAGGAGGCATTCAAACTTCACACAAATGTGTGAACTAATTACAAAAATGTATTTAATTTGTGGTGATGTCAAACCACCCGAATAGTATAACTCAAATGTGAACACGAAAAAAACTTGTTTCTCATGTGATGAGCGAGATTGAACATATTGTGTTTCGTTTGCTTCATACTTTTGTTATAATATCTCTTAGATCTTGCTAAAATGCAAGAAATGTAACTGCCTTTCCTGAGCGTATTGCATTAATTTCTGTTTTATTCTTGAGATTATATTCAAATTGTTAAACGTTGCCGTTAAATGTTATCTTCAAGCAACAACTGCAAACTGACCTAATGTTTCTGTGTAATATTTTCATGTCAAATCATCATGAAATGGTCCTAATCTGTCAAAAGATAATTCAAAACCATGCTCTTTTCAAATACTTCCTTAACAGTAGTTCAACCAAAATATTTGAATTTCTAAATTAGTTTTACGTAAGTCTTGTTATTGTTTTGATTTTGATGTGGCATTTGCTGCTCTTAACACCACTGCTATTTTGACATGATAAATTGCCGCACCATTACTTAAAAAAAGCGTCCCTTTTTGGGTTTTTGTGAAGTAGTATGAATCATGGTCAGATTTTCTACCAGCTCTCCTTCCCTCCTGACCAAACAGCGACATTGGTGATAAGGCACAGAGGAGCTGTATATTGCATAGAACTAGGATTTTAAAAAATGAATTTCAGTCACCGAAGACTACAGATTAGTGATTTTAGCAAGAAGATTATTACATTTTAGATTCCCCCTCAAAACTCATAATAAAAGTCGTTGACACGGCAAATATAATTAAAGATGTGGCAATCTTTGTGGACTTTTGCATTGTATAACTCGGCTAAACTACAGGCCTCACCGAGCGAAGCCGAGGCAGGACCTGAGGAGAAACATATTGTGACCTCGATATCACAGTTTGTACATTTTTCACATTGTCATCTCATTGCAGCTTCTTATCTTTATCTAACTTTGTTCACTTGTGAGAATCTAATGAAAGCCACCAGTACCCCTGACTCTTTGCCC